TGACTCATCATCCTCTTCAGTTCTCTTGTCATGCCCATCCTTAGACTCTGGTGGCATCTGACCAGTCATCTTTTTAAAATGAAGGCCAGGGCTAAAACCAAACCACTCTGTCAGAACTTGGCACAGCCTAAAGTCAATGACCTCTATGGAGGTTATCTGCAATCTGCTCTCCATCACAAACTCCTCCCATAGCACATCCTTTGTAGCCACCTCTCTCTCTATGGTCTCTATAGCCTCCTTCTCCACAATCTCCTGTCATGCCATCTCTGCTGCTGCCTCCTCCTTCACTAGCTTCTCTGCTGCTAATCAAACATCCTCTCTCTTTCTCTCCAATTTCTCTTGCTGTGCCCTCCTATAGGCCTCTTGGGCTATGCAGTCTGCCTGGACCCTTTTCTCCCACTCCCACTCTCTTTGCCATTCCAAACAGCTCTCTACAGCCTCCACAAACTCATCTGCTATAGTTTGTCATTCCAAATAAAACAATTCTTGGGCCTCTTAAGGGTCATCAGAGATCAACTCCTGCAACAGAGGCTCAGGAGTCTTCAAGGGATGATAGGAGACAATAGAAGACATTGTCAAGAATGGAGAGAAGATAGTGGTTGAAGTTGAAGAGCAAAACTCCCATGACATCAAAATTTTCCAACATGCACCCTTTCACTAGGCATTAGAATCTGCACTCTTGAGAGTAAGAATGCTAATGAGAGGATACTGTTATGCACATGCTGCCAGCCTCTGTATCACCTCAACTGACCATGAATGCAAACACAAGTTCTATCAGACTCTGCTCATTTTTCATTAACCACCAATTTCATTTTACTATCACTATTTCACATTTGTATTTCACACACTAGTATCTAAACCCTGAACACAGTAGCAAATAGTTGACACTGAAACCCAATGGACCCTGACTTAGAATTAGCTACCAATAGTATATAAACCATATATGAGCATTGTAAATACTCAGTTCAAATATCAACTTGGATAGCCATCTACACTTTATGCTCACTTCAGCTCCTCTCTATCTTATCTGTCAGATTTCACTCTAAAAGACAATTTTTTTCCACTTCTCCAACAGAACTCTATTCTGTCCATCCAAATCCTTGGACTCTGACTCAAGGGTGACATTGCCAATAGCTTCATTAACACCTATGCACTCTATCAGTCTCTGTGCATGCACTCAAACCCACTTGATTGGCACATTCCTAACACTATCTTAATATACTGAGCATCATTCTCATGGAGTAATATAGATATAGAGAAGTGTTGGAGGATATTCATATATATGCCCACATATTTTACCCTTTTGATCCTTTACCCTTTTAATTATCACTTGTTCCTTTCTAATCATCACTTATTTACTACACATACACACCCTCTGTCATTACTTGATCACCTATATAGCCTGGCCATAGATACCTGTACCTCAGTCATTTCACTCATGCTGTATCTGATTAAGGCATGTATACTATTACTATATCCTCTACTATATCATTTACACTCTTTTATAGATTATTACTTATATTCTTCTGTTATTACACTACTAGAAAACCTCATTGACAATACTTAACATTGAGAGTAGTCAATCTCATAATCTTGCCATCAGATGAGTAGCTTAAAGTCAGTGTCTGTCTTTCTTTGAAAGATATGCATCTCTTCATTGATAATTTCATCTCATAGTTCTTTCATTGCCATCATCAGTGCATTAGGACTAGTGAATCACACTTTTTACCTGAGTGAAGAGGACAACAAAGAGAATATTGGAGTTAGCAATAGCTCAAGCAGATGTTAACTATGTTTGTATATTAATAAGAGAGATAGGACTCTTGTGGTAGAAATGGAGAAAATCAGTGTGGAAGTCCATCTGGTGAAGGTTTCTCCATGCTACTTGTCATGATTTAGAGGCTAAAAGAAGTTTGATCAGTATATCGATCTAGCTTAAGACTAGAGTATATTACTGTATACTGCTGACTTAAATACTGTATAGAAAAGTCTCAGCAATCTCAAACCAAGTCACTGTCTCACTGCCTCAAACCAAGTCTTAGCTAAAATCATGACACTACTAGTACTTGTGGTTTGGGAGGTGTCAACCAGGACTTTTTGAATTCTGATGAAGTGATAAATAAATAGTGTTGGCACACCCTAGAATAATAAAAAGCTGTTTAAAAACAGAAATTAGAGAGATGGGGTTAAAGAAAATGAGAAAAAAATAGTACCAACTAGCTTCTAGTCTCAATGTGAAGGACCCTACACTGATTAGAATTTTGATACCAGAAGAAAAGGGATTACTATGATGCAGTGAAAATCAATCAAATCACCTGGGAGACATTCATTGTTTTTTGGTGTGCTAGTCACATAACAAGTTCAATGGCTTAACATGACTGTGGTTTCACGGGGCGATACTTCATCTGAGCTGAGATGTGCACCGTATCCATAATACGGTGGATACAGATACGGGTCCATACCGTCACCTTTGACGACCCAAAATACGGTTGAAATACGGTTGTTGATGCAGTAGCCGAAGATAGTCTAACGCCATCGAGGTAAGTACGTATGATCTTGATGAAGCTATTAATACTCACATCTTGCCTCTAGATATTCGTCGTCACTGTCCGTATACGGACACGGTACAGATTTGACACCAACTGCACCGTACCGTCGGGTACGGTCTACGGCCGTATCCGTAACGGTACGGTGCACATCCCTATGAATCATCTCTGGCTATCGGAATACGACTCAGAAATATCAAAGATCGGAAAATATTTTTTCGCTCCTCAGAATCACCAGTAATGACTTCAAGCACTCGTTATCAGTTCATTGGTACCTAGTCAGCCCCATAAGCCCGCTTCCCGTCGAGCTTTTGCTAGGTATGCGAGGACCTTGGTCTTTCCACAACACCTGAGCCGAATGAGTCCGCATAGCAACCACGGACTTTATGGTGGCGAAGTCAAAGCTTGAAGGAAGACAATGCCACGCTTGTCTTAGACAAAGTTGACTTGGAAGTGTTCACCCACTGTTCATTGGATATATAAAGAACGTTCTCCTTTCGTCGATCTACAACGCTAGCACTCTCCCCTATCACATCACGTCCTTTACCTTAGAAAATACACCAGTATGGCAGACATTGAACAAGGACTTGCCCCTAGTGGCACCGACCATATCAACACTCTCCCGAATGAACTACTCGCCGAGATCTTTGCGTACGGAGCTACAACCCCACTATATGAGCATCCATATCATATTATCATCCTCGGCACGGTGTGCTGGCAGTGGCGCGCCGTAACGCTAGACTTTCCTACCCTCTGGTCGAAAATCTACATCCCTGTCAACGTTGTCGTCAAAGGATGTTTGATCCACCGACCACACTATGAGGGGACCGCAATTGACAAACAATGGTCCTCGAAATTGCGGGATACAGTGGAGCTCTACCTGACGAGGTCAAAGACGTGCACCATTTCGATCAACTTCGTCAAAACTCCCTCACCCGGGAACTTGGGACGGGGATATACGTTTTGGCAACTGTCCTTCGACAAATTGGCAGGGTTGCTCCACAAGCACATGCACAGATGCTACGAGCTTCATGCTTTCGTCGACGAATGCCCGCGCGTATACGATCTCCTCTCCGAGGCAGACTTGAAATTGCCATTGCTTGAGAGCCTTACACTCCCGAAACTCTTGGATCTCCCCTTTGTCCGATCCGCGACGAAACTCCGTACGATACGAACCGAATTCGTCGAAAAGGACCTCAAAGAATTGGCAGTCGAGAATGTGGAACTTGCAACCTGGACGCCTGGGGAAAATCTCATGTCATTTCCAAAAGCCAAGGCCGTTACGCTGCTCCCACCGCCGCCATGCTCGACAACTTGGCCGCACGCAAGAGTAATTGCGGTGACCGGCCGGATGTTCTGCAGTGACTTAGTCTCCAGTTTGACAGTCGCAGGCACCAGAAATACGATGGTAAAAATTGAAGAGATGCTCTGTAAAGTTGAGTTTCCGAACCTTGAAATATTAAAACTCGTCCACTTTGATTGCACGGGACCCCCTTTGCGCTTGAAATCCATATGCAGGCCGCTAAAGGGGACTTCGACAATGAAGCAGCTCGTGTTTCAGGGGTTTGCTATCCGTTTGCCGGACATGCTGGACATACTTAGGATGGTTCCGCGCTTGACGTGTCTGAGTATCTACGACTCGCCATTCCCGCTCTTCGGACCGTACAGGCCAGTTTCCAACGCGCTTTTGGGAGCGTTGGCAGACAAGAAAATAGTTCCCAATTTGGAGAGGCTCAATATCTTCTGGCGACACGATCTCGACATAGATGATAGTCTGGTCAAACGTTTGCTCGACACGCGACGAGATCGTCTTATTGATGTTGTAGCACGCCAGGACCACGTAACACCACATATAGTGTGCTCCCGTATCATATGCGCAGCAATCCATGAGACATAGAGCAAAGAAATAGTTTGTAGGGTCGCGAGTAGAAATCAGTGCCGGACAGCTTTTAGTTTCTTTTGAAAACAATGTTCTCCCAGTGAGCTCGATTTTCCTAGAGAATAGAAACTGCGGTGCTTTTTCCAGCTCAGAGAATGTGTGGAAATCGTAGGTCACCAGGACAGTCTTGACTTGTGCAGCGAGGATGCTTGTCGGGCCGGGGACCGACAGATTTTGAATTGATCGACCGGCCCTCAAGCGCCTGATTACCCTCTCCGGGACGTCGGTCCATCGAGTTCTTTTTAACATGCCATCTCAGATTCGTCCGTTAATTGCTTACGGGTTACACAACTTCAATATCGATATAACGTCCTTTCTTTTTCCTTTCAGAATCTCGGATTGCGCTTCATCTGACCCTCCTTTCCGTGCAAAAATTCTTCGAAACAATTCATGCAGAACGTTTTCTTTTCACACTGTCTTCTCAAGATCAGTGGATACTGTGACTAGTGGCCTCATACACCATCACTAGTCAGCAGTTTTATCGTTACAGCCACATTACTATTAATTCCCTGTTCATGGGAGCGTATCTTCCTCTTACCAAAATACCCATCGGTGTAATGCGTCTCCCAGGAGACCCTCACAAGGTAACTATGCAATCCCGCCTCCTGATGTCGGCTTTACATGACCTCTCAACCTGTATCCGCGAATTTGGGTATGCGTGTTACCTCAATGGCCATGGAGTCGTTCCCTGGTACGTATTTGGTTCTCCCCAAGTTCCTCTGGTAGTAAGTAGCTGCTCGTTAGTCATACACATTTGCACTCTCTTATCCGTATGAATTTTTGCAGCATTGCTGTATCCGTTATACAGTCATCCCCGTACATGTTGGTTTGAAAGTGGACGACCTTGGGGAGCAGCCTTGTAAAGATGGACTGTTGAAGAAGCAACCTAGCGGCGGTTACGTCTTCTCCAAATGTGTTGCAGATGTTCGTCCTTGCAAAGTCGTCATTGAGGAGCCCCAGTCTGGCTTTCACCCAGAAGCTGAGATAGGCAATGAGCAATGGACGTTTGGCCAGCGCGCTTCTTTCTGATCTACCATCATTACCGCCTGCCCTTTTCTCCTTCCTTTCGCTCCTCTTCCATTCGGCCTATCTTCCTTGGACGTCTCAGCACTCTTCATTTAACGGCCAACTGGCTTGATCTTCAAATTTGCTTTGGAAAGGCGCCTTTGGAGGAACTTGAGAACAAGCAGTACGTTTAGTGTGGTACGTACGGATATCTCTGACCGTGCCCTTATTCCTCATCAACATCCTTTCACAGCCAGTTCAGTTAAAATTCTTCCTCTGGATGTTTCGTATCAGCATGACCTACTAGTACAACACCAACGAAAACAAGAGACTGGAAAGCCACAACGGTGACGTACTACCTGCAAGCGAGTATTCTGTTCATCACGTATCTACGCGTTTCTGGACACTCCAGCATAAAAAAAGCATACATTCTTTTTCTTTCCCGGCTTCTACAAGCTTTCCTTTATCTTTTCATCTCAAGTCCTTGGCACATTTCGGCATGTTCTGGGCACTTCTGGAAAGTCGCATTCTCGCCATGAGTGTCGCCACACAAACCAAACACGAACGTTATCACCAGTACCGAGGACGACAAAGCAAAAACAATTCTCAAGCTACGATAGTGGCATACGACACAATTTGAAAACAAGTCGGCGTTTGATGTTTTAGCCGAGAGGTGAGCGGTTCCTCGGTCAGTTGAACGACGCGGAAGGGTATGTAGCAAGATTAGAACACGTCGAGTTGGTTTGGGCGGCAGAGAACTCGGGGTGGTCATGACGGTTACTGTTGCAGGCAGGTTACTTTTACGCAGTGGATAATAGGCCAGACTGAGTACGACGGTCAATTGCTTAAAAGCAGAGGTACATATGACTACTACTTACCTGAGTACGACAGTCAATTGCTTAAAGGCAATTGACCGTCGACTCAGGACAAAACTGTCTGTGCTTATATAAGGTTGACATCAGGTACTTGTGTCGTCCCGCAACACTCCCCCTCGACACAATACTTCTCAGAGTTCAAGACCCAACAGCCTGATCATGTGAGTCATCTTCT